GTTGGCGGTGGGTGGTGATGACTAGCTGCCTTCCCTCTAGTCTTACACTGCTAAATTAGGGATGGCTAGCGCAGCTAGCCCTCGTGTAGCTTTGCGCGAAATTCAAAACAAACAAACAATCTTACAAAAAATAAATAAAATGTTTATCAAAATAAAAATAGGCCTAATTCTGTGACATCGAGTTTCATACATATATATAGATATTGTAATAAAAAAGTCAGTTAGGCAAGATTTTATGTTTTTATTAAGTTCACACCTGAAAAAGATATAGATAGCATCAATAGCAGATGCAAAAGATAGATATCTTAATCTATTATTATTGATTACATGATTCAATTTGTTAGACGTTACTTTAAAACTTCTAGTAGCTATATTTTCACCACCTAAATATTAAGAGGTTTTTTTAACTTTCTCCTGCCTTCATAAAAAGTTATTTGATGATTAAAAAATAAATAATTTTATCACAATATCAAAATTTTTAAGATTTTAAGAAAAATGTTTTGAATAAACCAAAATACTACAAATTATTATTATGGTATATAACACTTTATGCCAGCAAAGCGCCATCTATTGATTGGTAGTTAATAAGAATGATACTCATTTTTAACAAATGTTTCTCTACTGATCCTATAAATATATATCATGTTATATAGCTATATCATGTCAATAGCTATGCACCACTTTAAAATGTTGCAAATCACATGTCATCTTTCAATAACTTTAAAGCAGGTTAAAATGTTGTGTATCGTATGCTACCTTTCAATAACTTTAGATCAGATTAAAATGTTGTATATCATATGTTTCAATAGCTCTGAGCTAGACAAAAAAAATTTTCCTTTCAATAGCTATAAACCAGGTGACAAAATGTATTATCATGTCACTGTTAACTAGGTAATAAGTCAGATAAAAGAATTAGTGTTAAACACAAGAAAAAAATCATAATTTTTAAAAGTAGTGATAAGTTTTCTATGTGCAGAAAAACATCACATTATCATACTCAGAGGTTAGCACCAATACTATTGAAAAACACAGTGAGCTTCTAATAAGATATAACCTAAAGCAAATATCTGTGCTTTTCAATTTGAATATTTTTCTGTATTTTTGTAACGAGAAATCACTTAGTTCTGTCTTCCAATGGCTAGATTTGCTTGATAAATGAACTCAATTATTTTTATTTCTTTGTTGTGATTTATATTTTTTCTTGTACTTTTTAGAATAACTTTAGTATAAGTGACTAAGTCTCCGTTTGTTAATTAACTTTCCGTAACTTCGTTCCGACCAAACTTTAGCGACACAAGTCCTTACTTAATAAAACTGGTTTATTCTTTCCGAATACAACTTTACGATACACTTATTTTCAACAATCGCTCTATAACAAACCCTATATCAACGAACGTCAACAATACTTCTGACTGCAGTTCAATTACTCACTATCTACAGACACATTACTGTCTCGTCACGTTGTCAACCTCTTATATATACCAGACTACCCTATATCTAGTAATCTCCCGACAATTCCCGAAGGTTCGAGAGAACGAGTCACGTGACCTCGCTGACGCAACACTGCCCCT